TGTGGCAAGCATTTCACTGATTGAGCTTTCTTCCCAAGCCCTAATTGCTGCACTTTAAAAAAATCAATCTGATGGATGTAAAGTGGATCTCACTTGTTTTGCATTGTGTACATTATTGGCCATTCTTTCTGCTTGTATTTTGTTTGTTTGTTTTTGTTTTTTCGAGACAGAGTTTCTCTGTGTGGTTTTGGTGCCTTTCCTGAATCTTGCTCTGTAGACTGCAGATCGAACTCACAGAGATCTGCCTGCCTCTGCCTCCCGAGTGCTGGGATTAAAGACATGTGCCATCACCGCCGCCCCGCCTGCTTGTATGTTTTATTTTTTTCCTTCGTTGGGTGTGTTAGTTAGGTTTCTGTTGCTGCAATGAAATACCATGACAAAAAGGCACATTGGGGAGGAAAGGGTTTATTTGGCTTACACTTCCATATCACTGTTCATTATTGAAGTAAGTTAGGACAGGAACTCAAACAAGGCAGGAACCTGGAGGCAGGAGCTGATGCAGAGGCCATGGAGGAGTGCTGCTTACTGGCTTGCTTCTCATGGCTTGCTCAACCTGCATTCTTATAGAACCCAGGACTGCCAGCCCAGTGATTGGCACCACTCACAATGGGCTGGGCCCTTCCCCATTGATCACTAAATGAGCAAATGCCTTATAGCTGAATCTTATGAAGGCATTTTCTCAATTAAGGGTCCCTCCTCTCTGATAACTCTAGCTTGTGTCAAGTTGACATAAAACTAGCCAGTACAACTGACCCCTTGTCAGCTTGACACACAGACACATCACTTTTCAATTAGAACCTTTCCTTTTTGTTTATCCCCAGGATGAAATGTTAATATCATAATATAAGACATATATAAATTTTAAGGTCCAATAGTCCTTACAAATTTAAATACATTAAAAAGTTTAGTCTCTTTTAAAATATTCACTCTCTCCCTCCCCATCTGTTGATAGAGTTTTCCTGTCCTAACAGCCTGCCAGTTCCCAAATAACCAACTAGGAGATTTTTTCTTTCTTTCTTTCTTTCTTTCTTTCTTTCTTTCTTTCTTTCTTTTTTTTTTTTTTTTTTTTTTTTT